ACAAGGGCTGCGACTGCCTGTCGTAGTGACGACCTGTGGCAGACTTTGCCCAGCTTGTCCTCGATATTTCAGTGAACCACAATGGCTTAACCAGCAAATCTCCGAAAAATGGTGATTATGTTGGGGCCCGCACGACTAGTGAGGACGGGCCGTTCAAGTATCAAGTAAGTATACATGTATATATGTATGCGTACATAAATTATATATATATATATGTATACATAATATATATGTATGTATGTATGCATCTTCATTGGAGCATTCGGAGAACAGTTTGTACTCCTCATTCTGGTTTTACACTGAGTTGTTTTTGTCAGAGAGGCGAATGGTGAATTCGCTTCCATTTTTGTTTTGTTCTATTTTATTCTATGTTAGTTTGCGCTATCCGTCTTTCAAATACTGCCCGGGTACTAGCGAATGTTGCATTTAGTTCGCTTCTTCGAATCCATCATCCACGAAAGTCTTCTAGCTTTTCGGTTGTCGATTGCTCTGCTGGTTACGCATTATCCTTTTTCTCCATGAATGTCGTTGAACGCTTGTGGAGTCGATTTCTCCTTGGAGTCCTGGTATAGCCGGGTTAGCGCTTCCACTTGGATTGGAGGAAGTGAGAATGCCTGTTCTAGACAAGCCAAGTTTCCAACCCTGTGGGATGGTAGGGGCCTGGTGGAGCCGGAAGGTTTGAACTATTGTTTACGTAGATTAGGCTGTTCGCGTAATGAGTGGGACCACTGCCACTGCGATATCCGTTTTCATTTGCTTTCTTATTGAAAAAAAACTACAAGCTGAAAAGATGGTTCGTAGTAGATTAGAGAGAGAGAGGTCTTCATCTTGTTCGGAGAACTTAGATTTCTTTTCATGATGTTTATGTATCTAAAGTTCCTTCAAAATCGATTTTATCACCCTCCTTCCAATGATTGTTCGGAAATCAATGTAGGATTTGTAAATTCCTTGCATCTATATGCTTTAGCAGGATTTTCTCCTCAATACCGCACTATTATACACCAATGCAGAGTTGTTTTTTATACAGTCTTGCTGTGTTTAATGTGGTTATCATATTAATTGTACAGTTGACAAGTTACGATATCAAAAGTAGTTACAGTACACAGCAAATGACTCGAAACTCGTGAGTTATGGGGCCTACGAAGTGTTAACGAATAATGGGTGCAACGTCGGGTTGGAAAACTTCTTCGTGGCCAATTCGACACTGAAGATGAGAGGTAGCGGACGTAATCCTATTGACGACGGTGATGGAGAGCTTGCAGAAAAGCTCAGTATAGGTATCTCAACTTTTTCGGAGCACCAGCTATGGACCATCCACTCAGATCAGCGAGACTCTGAAGAAGGCGGAGGCACTGAAACGTTAGCCGAATAAAAGATTTTTTATCAACCTCGTGTGTTTGTTCATATCAAAAATTGTTCAAAGAAGATTGTAAAGGCGAAGAAACTGGACAAATGATTCCAGAACGGAATGAGTAACAAAGAAATCCCTGGTGCTTCTTCGCCACCAAAACGATACCCGTTTCCCGACGGTATTCTTATGTTCGACGAGAAATGGGCCCTATTCGATAAGCGGCGACGGCCGGCTCAGTGGTTGGACCATGATTTACCTCCGCAACATTTCGCGGAGCCAAAATCGCATCAGAATGAAGTTATGCTGACTCTTTGGTGGTCCACAGATGGTTTGATCCATCGTCGCATCTTCCTGAATATGGGTGAAACAACCATAGCGGAGAAGTACTACCAGCAAATTCACGAAGTGCACAAACTTCAACGGCTGCGCCTGTATTCGTCAACACAAAGAGACCAATCCTTCTCCATGATAACGCACGCCCACACGTCGTACTAGTAACGCTGCAGAAGGTGAAAAGTTATTCAACAGAATTTTGCCTCATCCAGAATTCCAAGGATTTATGCGGCTTGAGTAAATGAACTTGTTTTTCTCTGGCAGTAATATGTAGACTCTAATGGTTTATGGTTAGATTAATAAAATCTGTTTTCAGCTGGGATATGCCACTTTTAAGATATAGTTTGATGTGCTGCATTATTTCCCCAGCGACCTATAATTGTCCCATCACTGAGCGCCGGCGAAGTTTCCAATTGCCCCTACCGTCTTCCAGGCTTGTCCAATGAGTTCTGCTCGCTTGAACGACTCAGAAAACGTATTTCTCTTCAAGGAATATGAAGAAGCTAGCCATCTAGTCGGTGGTCCTTTTTTTCGCAGCAACTATCAAGAATTGTTGTCCAGTAAAAGAAAATCTCTGTGTAGAAATATTTTATGTCAAGAACCGTTCCATGTTATTTCCACCTAAAGCAATCGAATCTATTTGAACGGAATAGCACATAGACTTAGGCTTAGATGAGATCCGTTCTTGTGGTCGGTGCTGGTGGACGAGAACATGCTATCGCTTGGCATCTGGCGAATTCAGGCGTAGCGGTATGGATGGTCCCGGGAAACGGAGCCGGCTTTCCGAAACCAGGTGATCCTGCTTCTATCATTTCTTATTATTTCAATGCATTTATTTTCCTTCTTTGTTTATCCATACAGTGCAACACAGAGTGTTAACAACGCAAGGAAACATATTTTGCTTTTCATTTTTCATTTAGAATTCAGTGAAGTGTAACTACTGACGAATACTCAGAAATGCCTAAAGTCATTAAGAAACGGATCATCAGCATCTTTTAGGAAGAAAAGAGGGCGTCAGATTGTAGTGAAATGAGGACAGGGCAACAGAGTTAAGTTAGAACTTAGACTTCAGTTCCATTCTGGTCCTTAAGAAAGTTTTATTTTGAAAGGCTTAGAAACTATAGCTGCCACTTGTAGATCAGGATACATGCGACGATAATCCTGGCGCGACACTTAGTTTTATTAAAGCGATAGGAAGTGGAGAAAAAATATATCAACAGATTCTTATCACACAGTGTTTTCCATGTTTTAAAAATGATCAATTTCTATTCGTATCATGCGCTCTATCCATCATTGCTACTACTCTCACTATTTTCTGTCGTCGTATTACTCGAATGGGTACCACTAAAGAAAAGGATAGAGTTCTCGGCGTTGATCAATGCCTAAGGGATGCGCCAATGCATTTGACTTCATTAAGCATCGTTGGAAGTGATTGAATGCACATCTGGCCTTTACAATGACTCGCCGTGGTCTACCGATGTATGCAGCCAGTGTTGCTATCCTCTCAGACAAGTCTGGTACCAATTTGCCTATTCCGGGAGGACGGAAGGTTTGGAGAATTTAGCGGCTTTTCTTCTGAGAGTGTGGACCGATCCCATGTGTATTGCAGCCCTCCTCCGACCACTACGCTGTACGCGCGACGATTTTAAATATCAGATTTTAGTTATACAGTTTTTGCCAGAATATATCCACAGCGACCATGTCCAGTTTTACCATGGAGCCACGTCTATGGGTGCTTGTCATATCACGTGATATCATAGTCCACTTTTTGAAGTTCATGCGGCTCTTAGATTTTGTTTCTTCAGATGTTGACATAGCGAACGCCGACGATGTCGTGGTATTCTGTCGTCGAGAACAAATTTCGCTAATAATAGTAGGTCCCGAAGGGCCACTGGCAGACGGATTTGTTGATCGGATCGGTGGTCGAGTAGCGGTTTTTGGACCCACGCAACAAGGAGCTCAGCTTGAGGTGAGGAGATTGACGTTGTGGGACTGCCATTTTTCATTTCTCACTTGGTTTGATTACCCTTGAACTCGCTTTTCTAGAAAAAAGTTATATATAACTTTATTTTCTGTAATTATTAACTTATGTGGATTGAGTTGTTCCATGTTCCAGGCGTCGAAGGTCTTTTCGAAAACATTCATGTGGAAATACAAATTACCTACTGCGAACTTCGCTCATTTTGATGACATCGATAGAACCCGAACGTTTATTGAAAAGTGAGGTGTCGTACTAACCGTGAATGTAAGGAAAAATATTAAAATAAGGAAAGAAATCCACGATTTCGGGGAATCTGGTCAGTTAACGGTATAGGGCGTTTTTGAGATTACATGGAACTGATGGAGAGGACCATTTCGTTTAGGGATTAGAGATCCTTTGAGGTCAACCTTCTATACGTACTTTATCTGAGCGTTTGAATTCAGATGCGAATGGGATGGAATCGTTGTGAAAGCCGATGGACTTGCTGCTGGTAAAGGTGTCGTGGTAGCTGATGACAAACATAGCGCAATAGCTGCGGCCGAAGAGTTTTTGGCGGTAATGTGCTCGTTTTAGTCCTATGAAAATAAGTCTCCTCTAGATAGCAAGAAGAGCGCAATAGTTAACATATCAGTCTGCCTTAACTTTCATTTACTTCCCGTTATTTCTTCATGGCAGAGTATTAAGTGAAGTACAACCACAAGGATACTGAAGTATTAGCAAAGCTAGGAACTTCAACTGGGCTTCAGACTCATTATTACACTTAACGGAGGTTTACGCGCTGTCCAGCACATCATCTGAAACGCTTGTTTTGCCTTTCCTTAGGTCCTTTTTTAACTTTATCGCTGTTATCGTAATCACCCGTAATCATGTGCTCGAAGCCTCTCTGTAGTTCCGAGTTTTCCTCGTATCGGAGCATTTTTGTGGTTAGCAGCGTCTCTATTAGAGAATTCGTTACGGGAAAGGAGAAACCAAAAAGTGGGACTTTTTGGTTAGTCTAGTTGCCCTGAACTTCGAAAATTGTCCAAGATGTGAAATAAAGGTGAAAGCTAGAACGCAGACGAGAGTTTTCATAGAAAAAGTCACGTGTTTTATGACTCTGGCAGATGGAAGTTTCTCTATCTATTTAATATGAAGTCAATTATTGTCTACTGATGATTTCAGGGTAAATTTGGTGCGAACAGTTCTCGGATTTTACTAGAAGAACGACTTTATGGACAAGAAGTCTCGGTAATAAGTTTTTAACTTAATAGAGATCAGTGACACGTTTATATATATATATATATATATATATATATATATGTGGTTGGAGTAAATTGGTGAAAGTAAGTAAGTTTCCAGAGTTCCTTTTTAAAATTTCTAAGGCACTTTGCTTCACCGATGGAACAACAATAGCCCGTATGCCACTTATCCGTGACCACAAGAGACTGTGTGAGAATAACCTGGGACCGAATACTGGTAAGTTTAAGAACGTCTTAAAAGTACACGACTGAACCATCTTTGCATTTCATACGGCTCTCAGTACTTTTTTCCACTTTTGTTCTATTGCAACCATCATTTATGGATATGATCACATTTTTATGTCGATTTTAAGAACGTGGTTTAGATGTTCAGCAAAGGCGCATTTTTTTCAATAGACACAATAATATGGGAGAACTCTCCTTTATCTTACCAGGTTCCCTTCAAAGATTATTTTTTTCTTCCGATTGATCCACAATTCTATCTTTACCTCTTTCGGCTGGCATTGTTTCTTATTCATCGATGCTGTTTGGAAAATGGCAATGTTGTGAGTTGACCAGTTAACCAAAGACTTGAGAGGAATAGGTGGCTTCCGTTTTTGATCCCAATCCATTGTACTGCACTGGTGAACAGCAATGGTGTACTGTCGTATTTCCTTACCATTTGGAATAGCATATGTTTGGTGAAAAGACAGATCGTTATAGTGCGTGACTTTGGCAATCAGCAAACGTTTTGTGAAATGTATGTGTTGATTTTACGTTGGTCAACTAAGGTTGACAAGATGACCTTGATCTCTACCTTTTCCAACAACGTGTTGCAGTCAGCGAAGTCTAGGACAATGATATGTGGTATTTTCAGAGGTTTGGGATCATAACATTTACAAATATCGTCATAGATAACTTGGAATTTGTATAGAAGGTTTGATTAACTGTGAGCAATCTAGCGATGAATGAACAAAAGGCCTTGAAGGCAGTGGCTGTTTTAGGCGATAGGTTTAAATTTTTCCAAAAACTTTCTATATTTTCGACTTTCGCCACAGTATAATCTCAGTGTGACAATTTCAGTTTGTTTAAAAACGCTTTTTATTGCTCACATTCAGGTGGCATGGGTGTCGTGGGACCTGTGACGGTTTCTGACGCTGTCAATCAACAAATAGACCTATTACTCATTGATACCGTAGCATCGTTGCGTCAAGAGGGCATCATGTATAAAGGTGAGCATTGCTCGAGATCACTCAGATTTTTTTATCTAACGTTTTTAATGTGCTCTTGCAGCAACAAAATAGTTGCTTCTGACGCAATTCTTACGGTTTTCTTAATGTCCCAGATGTCATATATCACATGGTCTCGTACAAAGTGTTACCACCTTGATTAGCCACATTCCGCCATCAATGTCTTCATGAGAATAAGTTCTCTGTCATAGATTGCTAATCATCTACTTATACAGATTAAATACAAATTGATGGAAAGTAATTGGACAGCTTTCATTATCAGTGAACACAATGATACATAACAGTCAAAAGTCAATTAACTTGTTATGGGAGACCACAACATCAGAGTGGGAGAAACAAGCAGAAATGGCGAAATTGGAGTACTATTTAGGTACCAGGTAGTTCATATCGCCATTTCCACACGCCATGCGAGCTCTAGCGATTTCACCATTCGTTTCGTTGTTGAGTTGGTTGTAGTGCTAAATATTGGTCTTGAATGATTTTTCGTGAACGCTAAAGATAGCCGTGCTGAGACGTTTAGAGTAACTGGAATAGTCGACCAAAATGAAGCCCCTATTACTTGTCTGCTTTAAACACCTTTCTATTCTGCAAAATTATTTTTTGAGAAGGAGGAAAGTCGCTGTTAGACAAGAAATTCTTCCAACTGCAGGACTCACAGAAAGAACAAGATTATTTGCAAAGGCAAAATTGTGTGCTCTTGACTCATCTTTATCCATATTTCCGTACTAGATAACCACCGTCTGTGTGCGAAGGCTCGATTCAACTACAACGTTGGATGGGAATTCCTGTTAAAACCAAATTTCTTGAACTAGTTGTGAATGAAAAAAACATTCTGGACGCAATCCGTTCTGTGCATGGTTTAATCTACATATTAAAGGCTCACAAAATTCTTACAATTGGAAGCTCTTTGACATAGTGGGTGCACAGCTCTACCAGTTCACAAAGAGCAGAGGAATATTGGGGCCGGATTAATCTATACCACAGTCAACACCGTTGGTAATAAATCCCAAATGGAAAAAAAGTTTTCGCAGGAGCTTTCTTTATCTTACCTTACAAATAAAGGTAAAATTCAAACCGTCATGATATATTTAAGGAAGCCAAAATTTCGTCCTCATTTTTTCATATCGGTAATCTACGTTAGAGACTCCAACATTTTTTTCTCCAACGATTCCTATTTGTGACCAAACGCGTAAATAATGCACACTGCTGGTGTCAAGAAACGTCGGAGCTGAAGTCTTGCACTCGCCTGGCAACATATTAAAATCATAGATCCCAGAGAGGGCCGTGGGTCCTGTCGTCTTTCCAAGAGGCACCACCTACCAAGTGGAATTTCCACAACTATCCTCCAGCTCACTTGGATTATGTAACGCTTTTTACGAATCTGCTACTCTGCATATCAGCGTGATATTCGACCAATTAAGTGCGCGATTTTGATAAGATTTTTGCTGTCTGGACTATGTGATGTGACAATAGCAGAGGTCAGGAGCTTCACTAGGAGTGCCAAAATCAGCACAACCTTGTCTAGACCCTTTCATTCTCTTTTTTCTACCTCTGTAGTTATTTAGAAAAGCGACGCTAAAGCTTTAAATTTCGACCAAAGTGGGTATCACCATTCCATCATTGTGGTCGAGTAAAACGGAAGAAATTTTCATTTGACGATATTCTTGGCGTTGTACGATGAAACGATGAAGTGGACTGACAGGTCAACGACGTTGAGAATTTTGCCCAGCAGCCTAATTGCGCGTGAACGATTCGTTCTAGAACTACCACTGGCGCACACGACAGCAACAAAATCAAACAGTTAAGAGCTTCGAAAATTATCCAGTACTTGATATCCGGGAGAATAATTTGAGCACGGAAAGTAAGTGTTCTAGCTGTGCAATTTAAAGAAACGATAAATGGGTGTAATAAACCCAAAGAGGTAGCAGGAAGCGTTCTCTAGGGCCACCATCTATAAGATGATCGGGCATGTATATGGTTTACGCTAACTGTATTTGTAACTATAAATGGTTTAAAGACGACGTAGAGACGATCGCCTAAGTTAAAAAACAATTTCGAGGTAAATAATGGAATGGAAAATTTGCTGGGACTAGTATGAATCGTAATAGGTCGTAGAGCCGACAACGTCTATGTATTATGTCAAACCTGGCTCCTACAGTAGGGGTACTTGCAATTCTGACATTTAATTGGTACTGCCAGTTATAACGGCCTTTTTCATTTACTTTTTCGTTCATAGGGCATACCAGAAGTAGTAGCCGAGCTTTAGGTTAATAAGTACGGTTACTTTCATTTCCAGGTGTTATTTACGCAGGTCTTATGATTACTTCGAGCGGGCCAAAACTTCTAGAGTACAACTGCCGATTTGGGGATCCTGAAACAGAGGTGGTTTTTTGCTGGTTTTCTTTCTGGTTCGTAGCTAGCGGCAAATATCGAAATTGAGCTGTTGATTCGACTCGAGTTTAACATATGTTTGTATTATTCTAATCCTGATCGTTAGCGTTTCAGATTATAATGAGACTACTAAAATCGGATCTATACAGTATTTGTATGTCGTGTACAAATGGAACCCTCTCTGAACACCTTCCCATCGAATGGGACAAGCGTCACGCGTGTGGCATCGTGATCGCAACCGATAAATATCCACATGGGTCCGACAAGGGCACTCTAATAGGTAAGCCTTACTTTGCCATCTTTTTCACATCACTGCTTGGATATTTGAACATTTGAGTAGTTGCCCTCGACTAACAATAGTGCGGGGTTCAGCACGATCTTTATTTTTTCGGTAATTTGTTTCTCAGTTTTCCTTAGTACCGATGCATCCATGGTATTATTAAGTCGTAGGCATACGCACTCGCCAGAGCTATGGATAGATTTTCCAGCAGCAAAATTGTCGTAAGGAATGCTACGTTTTTCTTTACATTAATTCTTGTAGTTTGTCACTTTTGTCTTTTAACAATGATAAAAGTAAGTGAAATTTAAGTAAACTGTTCAAGATGGTTCTCTTGGCTTTAATGTAGGATCTTCTTCTTGACTTCATTGAACCAACGGTGCGGTAATTGCTATTAGTACGGTTTCTTACAGTGCGCTCGACAAATACCCGAATAGTAAAACCCAGCGGGTTTTATTTCAGATGTTTGAAAAACCATTGAGCATTTGTGAAATGTCGGGAAAAATCTGACTTCTGATAGACGATCATCTGCAAGTCGTCATTTCCCTAGTTAACAATGATTCTGTGGCAATATTTGTTCTTGGGGACGGGCTTATAATCTGGTGATGATTTCGATTCGAGAAGATGGCTCACTGAGGAAGACCTGGCTCGACATGAAGGCGAAGCTGCAACACCGAAACGAACAACAATCATGGACCATCGACTCGGACCATCGACTCTGAGGAAGACGAAGACGTCGAAACGTTAGCCGAAAATAAATATATTTATCAACCTCGTGCAAGCTTATCAAGAAAGAATGCATATTAATTTGGTGATTGTTTCGAGAACTTTTGGTTACTTCTTAGGCTGCCGAAATTGCTAGCGTTAGCGGCATCGGTTGTTGAAATGTCCATCGGGCAGTTAGCTATTCTTTGCTAATCTACGTGGGAAATTGGCAATCTATCCCAAAACCTTTGATTTACGTTAAGGTCCATTGTTTCGTTAAGAATGAAACCATCATTTCTCTTAGTTCTCTTCTTAATAATTCTTCGTATTTTTGTTGAGCAAACACGAGGTGTTATTACTCTTTATTCACGAATAAGCTACTTTCGTCGGATTTCGTCTTCCTCAGAGCCTGGAAAGGTCAAGTTGGTAGCAATCTGTTCGGCCAGACACCTCCATAACCAAACAAAGAAACTCTAAACCAAGATTTCAATCACATTGAACACAGCTTTGCACACTCATCGCTTTCTATGAGGTTTCCACTAAGTATGTCGCGTGAAGACAAACCGCACAGAAATCACATGGAAGCATACTGTGCCCCTCCCATCAGAATAACAGTCTTATATACTGCGCTATATCACTCGTGATAATGAGGCATTTTTTCCTGCAGTTCATTTTCGGATTTCTGGAATTAATCCAGAATACCTCGAGAGTTTTGCGCGCTTATGTTCTTGATTCGTATGCGAGGATCGTGACACATACTTCAAAGTCCTCCCCGTTATGTCTCTGGGTCCTATGCGTGCCTAGCGGAGTATTTGGTCTATGTTTACCGGTTAGGTGTTCTTTTATGCGGACACAAAGGGGTCTGCCCGTTTCGCCAATGTATTCGTCTCCGCACGTTTTACAGGAGATCAGATAAACTATACCCGAGCTCATGCAGTCACCGTCTCTACCGCTGGGGTTGCCGTTTGGAGGCCTAGGATTTTCCCTACACCTATCCTGAGTATCCTGAGCTACAGTTTCGTAGCCATTAGAAATGGCTATTTGCCGCGCCAAGTTTCGGGACTTTTCTCTCTGCTCTCTTCCCGTGCACGCGTTGGTTGCTGTTCGAAACATGTTTCTTATAAGCGCCCTTTTCGTGTGAGAGGGGTGAGAGGAGAGGTATTGAACCAAGATATTTTTACTACTTGGCTTTCGGTACCACTTTGTAATGTAGCCATTTTCTGATAGGTGAATTTGGTCGTTCAGGAATGAAAGCCATTTTTCTTTCGGCTTTTCTCGAGTGAACTTGATATACTCTGACTGTGCATTTAATAATTCGAAACATTTGTCCATTTCCTCTTGTGTTGAGCAAAGGACAAAGCAGTCGTCTACATACCTACAGTAGAGTAGCGGCCCGAGATCAGTCACCGGTGCTTCCACCTTAGACATAAATGCAATGGCAAGGCTTGGAGCCAGCCGTTGTCCCATTGCCAACCCTCTTATTTGAGCGTAGTACTTTCCAGCCCATCTGAAGATTGAGCAGCTCAAGCATTCTTTTAAGAGTGCCATCAAGTGCTCTATCTTGAAGCCATACATGTTTATTTCTCCTTCGTGTTGTGTAAGGAGTTCGAATATGGCTTGCATTGCGGAGTCATTCGACACGTTTGTATAAAGGGCGGTAACGTCGAAGGACTCCATCACGTACGCGCTGCTGGGCTGCGTAGTACGTAGACGATCCAGAAACATCTGGGTATTCGTAAGATGGGCTGGAATGTGTTTCAACAACTGGTTAAATATTAGGGTTAAAAACCATGTTATCCTGTCCGTTGGCCCGTCTACGCAGCTAATGATAGGTCTAACCTTAAGTAGTGATGGATCGGTAGACGCAAGATCATCGCTGGTTACTAACTTATGAGTTTTTATAAGTACAAGACGGGTCATGTTGGTAAGTCAACTTTTAGTTGAGAAATAACTGATGGTTTTAAACCAGCGTTCCTTGCCATTTTGGCCCATTCGTGGTTCAATTTTCGGTATTTATTTTTGAATTCCTTCTCAGATGATGGGCGATAAAGTGAAGCATCTTCAAGATGCTTTTTCGTTATCTCCACATCCAGCTGATGAGGAATTACGACAAACTCTCCACCCTTATCACTAACGGAAAGTCTTATGGTTTTCAACGTTATCAGCTCTCGTACCTCTCGCATACCACGTTTTTGCACTAGAGTGAGGTTTGAGCTGTATCTTTTCGCGCGATAGTGATTAAGGATTGAGGATTAAGGGAGCTTTCGGTACCACTTTGTAATGTAGCCATTTTCTGATGGGTGAATTTGGACGTTCAGGAATGGAAGCCACTTTTCTTTCGGCTTTCTTTCTTTTCTCTTCTTAATAGTTCCACTGATCCGTTTGCTTTCTGCAGTACGATGACGATTAGTTTCGCTTTACATCGACATTTCTTTCGTTATTCCCCAACTCGACAGTTTGCTCAACACCATGCTTTAACTTTTATTTATTACCAATTCTTTTTTCAGAACAGAGTATTACGTGAAATATAACACAAGGATGTTGAGATATGAGCAAAATTCAGAACACTACCTGTTCTTAGAACCCGCGATTACCCTTTCTGTTGGCTCACGTGATATCCACTGCAACAACCGAACCTTGCATTGACTTTCTCGTAGCTAGTGTTTTTTGCCCTAACAGTCTTCTTAGTAGTTGTCAGTGATATTTTATGCTGCAAGGCGTGCAATTGCTTGACGATGTGGGCGCGCTTTCATAACTCCAAAAGGCAAAACCATTTAAATGCTAAAAAGCATTAAAAGCTAAGCGTGAGTGAGTTGCGATTAAAGTAAATAAAGAGAAACAATGAAATTGAAAGTGACCAATGGTGCCAATTGGTAAATTCCGCTGCGTATAAATGGGACAACCAAATTTTCCTGTCACCTTCATTTTCATGGGAAATTTTTTATACCTTGTTTTTGTAGCTTTAGTCCTAAACTCGCACCTCTTCGCTCTTGCGTGAAAACTCTTTCGAATTTTCTACAAAGTACGGAAATATACCGCTCCTAAGAATCGCTTATAGTGCGAGATCAATGGTACTGGAGAGTTAGTTAGGCATTGAAGTCATTTTAAAAACATTTTGTGTGATGAAAGGACACTAATTCGTTCTCACACATAGCATTTTTAGATAAGTCGTTTACTTAGATATATATATTTGTAGTCATTTTTGCTTTGTAAAGGGCACCGTTCCTCAAAATATTAAATTTGCTAGTATTTCAGAGTTCGGAGAAACTTTAGAAGACACCGTGATATTCCACTGCGGGACCACTAGGTCAGCAAATGGAAGAGGCCAGTTTGAGTTTAGGAGGTTTTTAAATACAACATGCCGTTACGACTACCAACTTTGTAGTTGTGACGAACGGTGGAAGAATACTGTGCGTGACATCTTTAGCAGTCTCGGCCGTTGAAGCTCGCGCCAAAGCAGTCCAGGCCTGTGAAAGTGTGCAATTCGTCGGAAAATTCTTCCGACGAGACATCGGTTTAGAGGGAAAAGAGTACGTTGAGCTGAATTAGCAGTGATAGTGATGGATTTAAAGTTATTAGAGCGTCAGAATATATCTCTTTTCATTCTTTTTATTTTGTTTTGGGTTCAAAACTAATACATTATTTTCTTGAGAATCACGCCATCGATTACTTATCAAGATTCTGGTGTCGATATCGACGAAGGGAATGCATTCGTAGAAGACATCAAAGCACTTGTGCAATCCACTTTAAGGAAAGGCACCGGGCAAGTGAGTGCTTCAGCCAAAGCTATGTTCGAATACTGCACTTCCAGATTTAATTTCGGTTTCCAATCTTGAGTTCCAAGTTCGAAAAAATTTGCAAGACCTCGAAATAACATCTTTGAAGAGGGAATTCTGTATTTTCGATTATTTTACTTTATCTTGCGTTTTTATAGCAACTTTTCTTCTTATTGCATAGAGCCAAAAATTTAGATATAAATTAAAGACTAAGTTAAAAAATTAACATAAAACACAGAAACAATCTCCCGTTCTCCAGCTTCTCCAACTTTTTTAGTTCTGGAGTGTTTTTTCTCTAATAGGTCAACTTTCCAACAATTTATGATGGTACCGTGCAAAAGTAGTGCCAATTTTAGTCTCTATGGAGTTTTTACGTAAATCTTGCGGGTGCGTTTACCGTAGGCATTGTCGATGCTTTCCATTCTAAGTCTTCTTATTGCTCAATAATATGCCATACAACAATTTTTCTCAAATTTTGTTTCTAATAATTCTACACCAGCGTAAATAATGCTCTGGAATCGTGGAAATCATATTGATTTTCCTAAATAATCCAATGTTGGACACCAGAAATTTGAATGCTATCATAGTATGGGCCAGGAAAGAACTTGCTAGCGAATAGTGAACAAATGGTGCTTATTCATACACGCCCGCGTGACAGGGCGCCTTTACAAAGGTTTTTCATCGCAGCTGTTGTATTCTTGCTATGACTTGTCAACATAGATCCAATATCAGGATTGGCTCCAGAGGACCTGTTTTCTACAACCTCATAATTTGCAAAAAACCTATGCCAGACGAGGTCGTTCTGCGGTGAGAGACTACTGCTGTTGAAGAGTGTGCAGCATGGACGGCACGGCCTGTGAGGAGGAGCAGGGATGAATGTGCTTGAGTACTGGAGTTCAAACACTTGGGGAAAGTTTTCCATTGTGGTAGAATGATTACGAGACCATCGAGGGCACCTTCCCAGAGTGGCTCGGTGTTCATTGACCATACAGTCATCATTGGGATTCAACACATTTTGTATTTTTAAAGATTTATCCAGTCTTATAACGTTCTTACATGTTTATGTTTTATTTATTTCACAGCATGGAATTTACGATTTACAATATACGTATATATGATGGAGGCACATATATATGTACATACAATGGGCGGATAGCACATTGGTAGTGATGTCGGTCATCACGAGCATGGTGCTAGTTCAATTCCGCACCGGGCTCACCAAGCCTCTCATCTCTCCGGGGTCGCGAAAATGATGCCGAAATTGTTCGGAAAGAAAACCATGCTCCACAATTCAATTGGGAACGCTCTAGCCCGGCTGTCTCAGGACTCCAGAGAGAATCGACTCGACTAGAATTCTGCGACATTCAAGATGAAATGAAAATCCTCAAGCAGTAACCGAAGCCACATATAAAAGTTGAAACATCCTCGTGGGTGGTGGATGTGAGGAAACTAATCGAATGTGACAAGTGCTGGGATCCGCACAGTAGATATGAAGACGGGTCTTATAAAAGTGAAAACAAAAATATATATGTATACATGTATGTGTATGTACCATATCACATAACACTAGTAACTGGTAGCAGTTCAATAGAAGTCATAGAAAACTCCAACGGTTCATTGACGTTGCCAATTTTCCCATGTATTGATCAATCTTTACTATTAATCCATAAATAGTCGAAAGCAGTTACACCTTCCAACAGCATGTCTCAGCTCATAATGAACTTTATGAATTGGAGTGAAGGCTACAAGAATGAGAAATTTTTTGTCAGCAAGGTACAAATTTCCTTGTTTGGGCGGAATAAAATTTGATATAAAAAATTCGAACTTTCAATTTTGGTTAAACTTAAAAACAAGACTACATATTAGTCATTTTTTAAATTGGCAGAGTAGAATCTATCACGTTGTAAACATTACAAGTCTTCTAGGTTATCAAAATTTATTGGAGATTATCAGAAAAGTTTTCATCGCTTGTCTAGGGCATGTGACCAGTAATTCGATTGTTTTCACTTTCAACTGTTACAATGAATCATAATTATTGTGTGGAGCAGTCTATATAGATATAAATGATAAATACCTCCCAGCGTTGATCAGTCCCTGAGGAATGCGCCATTCATTCAACTTCATTAAGCATCGTTGGAGGTGAATGAATGCATACTTTATAATGACTCACGGTGGCCTACCGATGTATCCAGCCAGCGATGCTATCCTCTCAGACGAGTCTGGTACCAATCTGTCGATTCCGGAAGGATGAAAGGTTTGGTGAGCCACAGGCGCGGGGACCTATCACATGTGTATGTCGCAGAGGGCCTTCGACCACTGCGACGCACGCGCCCCTTTATACATATACATATACATATATGTATATATATATTTATTCATAACAGGTGACGTTACATTAAACATAGGTAGCAGAACCCTCCAAAATTCTGACAGCAATGTGTTTGACAGGTGAAATTTTGTAAAATGTAGCATATTTTAGCAATATTCTACCTCTAGATGGATAAAGAAAGCTGTCTTCTGCAATGAAGGCATGTCTATTGCAAAAGCTCTTTCTTTGAGGAATAAAGTTGTGTTTGAACTGAGCTATGGCAATTCAATGTTGGCCTTCGAAAGTGACTAATGTTTTTGCTCAAACAGCAACAAGCAATTATTTATTGGATTGTATAGGTTATTTTTACAATGGTGGCGATTCTCATAATTTAAAGTGACTGATCACATATGCATTACAGAGTGCACAAAAAAATAATGCAAATTTATAGAGTATCGATGCCCATTCTCAGTTCTCCGCTTCTGTGGAAATCAAAGGCGAACTGTGCTCGACTACTTTTAGCCGTTTTCTAAAATCTACTTCACAGGCCTCTGTTGAATACTGCTCTTTTTCTCAGTTTGATGTTTGGCTTAAATTCGAAGCAGTATGCTAACCGATAGCATTACACTACTGTGTCGATTTGGAAGGTGATTTTAAAGCTGCCGTCCACACATGTCGTTTGCTTCGATCACGCGTCCAGGGGACGCCATATCCTATTTCTCTGGGGTGTTGATAAACTGGTAACAGACCTATATAGGAGAACAAAAACACTGACTTGATATTATCGATAGACCCCACAAGTCATTGGAGAAAAGTAAATGTTCAGTAACCGCTATAATGTTTACTGTAGTCGGATTTATGACGTATCGTTTAGAGGATTGATCAAAGGTGTCGTTTGTACTTTTTTTTTGTAAAGAAGTTAATATTTATACAAGACGGAGCCTCTTGGCTAAGCATAGCACCTTACCTAATGAGTTGCATTAATGGTGAGTTTTTTTCAAAATAAACACGTTCTGTAGCGTTATAAAGAAATTTTAAGTGTGTTTAGATCGGCGGCTTTGGCGCTGTTGTCGACCTTACAACGGCTGGCTTTCCCAGCGGTTCGCAGCTCGTGATTGGAATTGATGGTGTTGGCACGAAAATTGAGGTGAACAAGCAATCTGTCCTTTTCAACACTTTTCTGAGTATATATCCAACGAGTTTGTTTTTACCTGTCAACCAGTCTGAGTTACAATCATCATTTCTTTCTATCACAGTTGTAATCTTAGAAAAAGTACCACGTAACGATGAAAGCTTCAACGAGATGTTCATCAGATGTTACATCTCGGCTGGTATGACTCAAAATTGGCGTGATCGACTGTCGTCGTCCGGTGTGGCCCACTGTGTCAATTTGACAGACTCGTTTATGTTTCATGATGACGACGGCGAAAATATCTCTAATGAGAAGTTGAAAGAAACTACAGCAAAAATTATTGTAAAGAGTAGAGGTTTTGTGCACATAGAACTAGGATAAGAGATAGAAGTGTTCAAGCCAGATTGCGTAAGTGGAAAATAGCTGGTTAGACCATTCAGAGTGGTACATGAGAATTTCATCGCTGGCTTTCCTAGTCGGAAAACCATTATGCGTGAGGATCTCATTTCTAGCTTTTTAAATGGATTTCTCTTCTTGCGAGTGCTCAAGAGGATACCATTCTGGCTTACGGTCATTTTGAAACATATTCCCGGATATGCCAAACTTCGCATAGCACTTGGGCCAAACTGCGCGTCGGTACGCACTGAAACCAATTCATGAGACCGCAGATGTGTTAATGGTGTCTCTCAAATGCACTTCGTTCATTCTGATAACGTACGTTCAACCCCTCAGAAAAGATGGAACTATAAAAGCTTTCGAACAGTCTTAGATATTTTTTGGAAACGTTTGCGCTATGGCTCCTTCATTATAGTCTGCTGAAGCCAATGAACAATGTATGAAAACATTTACGAAACGTTTTCGTCATTTGCGGTTATCGCGAAGCTCTTATTTTTCTTAACTTCTCTTTTACTTCCGGAGAGTATGGTTTTTAGTGCATTGTTCAAATGTTCGTTTGTCTAGATAGCAGACATCATGGAAGACTATACCGGTATTGGCTACGATGTGGTAGGAATGTGTGTGAACGATGTGCTCTGTCACTGTTCTACTCCGGTGGCTTTCGTCGATTATTTCGTCAGCGGACAACTGAATCGTCCACGTGCAAGAGAGGTGGTCGCTTCCATTACTCGTGCGTGTATCGACTCAGAATGTAGTCTTGTAGGTGAGCGCGATGCTAGTTTTCAATTCTAACTCGGTGAGCTTATAGAACTCGTGTAGCGCAGTGGTTAGAGGTGGCCAATATATTGCACGGCTTGATTCCGAGCCCCAAACTCACCAAGCTCGATATCACTGCACAAATTGATACCGGACTTGTATAAAAAGACAGAAACACTGACTTTATACATGGAAAGGTCATCGCTTATCCATGTATAGGCCAAATGCCTGTTCAATCATCTCTAACGATGCTTAGTGGAGCCGGCCGCATGGTGTATCTATCAAGGATTGTTGAACGTCAAGCGCTTTACCTTTTATCCTTTAGGCTGCAACTCAAGTCATTCCATTTCTAGTAAAAAACTTGTCTTTCGTGTAACTAATTGTCTTTCTACAGAAATCACTTGTTTTGCTATAACAATATAGGAATAGCAACAGTAGAACCAACATAGATTGGCGTTTCTTTAAGTTGTTGGTTTAGAAGAATATTCTTGATTAGAAAAAACTTATGATACTTGTGTGGATTCTTCATTTCTTTTCAAGCGAACTGTCATTTAACCTCCCTCAGTAGTAATAATGAGTACGTTCTTGGATTGTTACGATAACACGTAGTTCATAGAGTGATGTCTTGATCTTGTATTCACTGTTTGCAAATTATAGTTCTTTCTGTGAGATTAACATAAATCGTCCTGTGGCAATATATTCAAAGTTTAAGCATGAGAGAGTTATAGCACTTGGTAATAATACAAGGGAAGAATGAGAAAGATCCCTATAAGTGTTGTGTTTTTAGGTGGAGAGACAGCTGAAATGCCTGGAGTCTATAGTCCAACACAGTGGGATCTGGCTGGATGCGTAGTAGCTGTTAGAGAGTCGAACTGGCCACTCCTTCCTGATTCGAAGAGGTTTATATGCAAATACAAATGTATATATATACATATACCAGCTAGGTTTATCTTATTTCAATGTCATATAGAAGTGTTGCTGTTGTGTGGATTTTTCAGCGGAGACATCTACAATCCCTGTTCAGTGCGTAGTGAAATACATTGTAGAATGGACAGTAGGTACAATCGTCGCATGTTTTCAGTATGCACAAAGGAGACGTCCTGATCGGTCTTCGGTCTTCTGGGTTGCATTCTAACGGCTTTTCACTTGTGAGAAAGATTTTCGAATTAAATAATGTGTCGTACAAGGACCGCACACCTTGGGATCCAGAGAAAACATTCGGTTCGTGATTTTAGCACTGGAATAAGAATTGCCAATAATAAAACCTAATGCGATTAGGAGGAGGAGGAAGAGAGATATTTATTCACGTTGTATTTCATTGTTAACTTCCCCATAACTCGTGCGCTATTCTTCAATCTTTTTTTAAATTAATCGATAAAAAATTTTCGCAGCAGAATCTTTTCTGATGTTGATAATTTCGTTCTCTAAGTCACTGTTAATACCACTTTTTGTTTCTTTGGTGGAGAATTTCAAAAGTTCGCGAGAAGGAAGATGCACCCCGTTGTCATCTTCGTACGTTTAATGTACTGTTGGTTAGAGAGCACCGGAGGAAAAAAAGATTGCTATCCAGATGTCATTTTCGAACATATTCTCTAACAATCACTTTTCGTTTATACTGCTGATCTACAGCAAGTCAGTATTTGTTTCTTACTGGACTATTTGCTTGTAGGACTTTTTAATCCACAATTATTTAGTTTGCTTGAACCGATCCCCTCAAAGGAGAAATTTCGTTTTGTCTTATGGTTTTAAAATAAGGGAATTTGCTGTGGAAGCAAAGTTAAATGTCAACCATGAGCAATAGGAGCGTTTTGATTGTGAACATAGTTCAAAAAGTTTCGAATCAAAGGTGTAAGTCTGGATGGTGAAGAATATTGTCGGCTCCCGTCAGCAGTTGACGATAGCCGTCTGAAGGCCACAGTCTAAGTTTTCTGGCTAAAATTGCTCTAAAATTTTTAGAAGAAGTGAACGTCAGTTGATGAACAATGTTCGAAAAGCAGTAGAAACGGAAATCTAGCAATCATCAATCATCTAACATTGGTGAGCAGTAAAGACCTTGACCGCATTTGGTACAACTAATGCTGGAGAAGTGAAACACAATTGGTGTATGAAACCTTGCCTTATCCTTCTCGTCAGACCTATTGCTAAATGGTTACGACTTTTTCGTACGCATTGAGAGTTGTTATACTTTCGAGAAAAGATTTTTAACAGCAACACCGTTCAAAATACCTTCGAAGAACTGCCGGAAAAACTAAACATGTACCGTTTGTTTGGAGAAAGGTGTAGATCGTGTTTACCGATATTTGTTTTCCTTCATGAAGCTGTATTTGAGCCTAAATATAACACTTGAAGGTTGTCGTTTAGGAAGTTTTATGCCTTTTGTACCGACTTAGTAACAAACTTAAAATTTTTTACAGAAAGTCTTTGGTGAAATAGCTAGTAATCAACTATAGGGCAAGGTAGGTTAACTCGTTAACTATAGGGCAACGATTTGCTACCAAAGGAAAAATTGAGCATACTGGTCATACTGCTGCCTCAATCCGTACATGTTTCTCTGTTTTGGCAATGACAGTTTAATAACGTTTAAATCGCGTTTGCTCAACATTAATACGAAGAAGTACTTGATCAAAGCCGAGGTTAATAAAAGGTCGGTCTTGGGAGTTACTGCATGATATTTATCTGTTCATAGTTACTTGAATTCCATTCCAGGAGAAGTGTTGCTTACTCCCACGCGTCTTTATGTTCGTTCTTTACTTCCACTTCTAAAAGAAGGTTTTGTGAAGGGCTGCGCTCATATCACTGGTGGAGGGATTGAAGAAAATGCCATCAGAATGCTTGATCCTACAGCATCACTTGCCCTAAAGGTATCTACTTTCGAATCATTTAATCCAAACCGCTGAACTATCTAGTCCAAACCGCTGAAGTGATTCGTTCCACTGGAATTTATTTGAATTGATGCAGGTAGACGCTGCTTCTTGGAAGAAACCGGCAATTTTCGACTGGTTGGCCGCTATGGGTCCTGTTACAGCAAGCACCATGATGCGAACATTTAATTGGTATGGTGAACATGGGCAAATAAGAGAGCAGGAAAGCTATAGAGAAACACAAAAATCATTTGAAGAATTTAATACGTTGTTGTCTTGTTACTTCAACTAAGTGCAGAAGTGAAGCGTGTAGAAGAGGTGTATTCTCTTTCTCATCGGCGATTCTTACGTAGTGGTTCAAGAGATTTACTATGCAGCCTTCGAAGTAAACTCAGTTCCACTCATTTTGAATTCGGTCGCAGAATCCATCTATTAGGTCGCTTGGAAATGAATCTCCCGTTTAAATTTGTATTTTCAAAGTGGCATATCTCGGTAAAGAATGAACTTTTCCAGTAAAATCTAAAACCAATAGAATTTGCATATTTTTTTCCAACGAGAGACAAGTTTGCTTCTATCAGTGGCTTGAAATTCTGGGCTTGTGGAAGCAGTGATGTTGTTGAAGGTAGTTTCGGCCTCTGTTTGGTTGGTGAAGCATTTATTGCATAGACATTTCCCGAGATGCTTGGATAGAGTTGTTCGTAGGCAAGAGGTCTGATAAGCGTCAATGATGCGAGAGAGTTTTTTAGCCATACGCGTTCAACTTCCGCGACGTTGGCAAAGCGATATGTAGCTGGGCGTTATCATGGGGAGGGATTGGTGCCTGTTTCTGGTGCATTTAATGGAAATGTTGGATGTACTTCTTCGCCGTAATCGTTTCGTCCTGATTGAGAAAGAGGTCAAACACTGAGCAGCAGATCGTTGCTGGTTATCGTGGAGGATCCATTTCTCATAGTATATCACAATTCGGTTGTGGAACGGGTCTTTGTGATTGCACAGAAGAACGTCGGCGTTACCTCAAAACGGTAATTTCTTTGATTGTCATTCATTTGGTGCCGCATCCATTTATTGAGCTTCTTCGACTTTCCAATTATTTTATGCTCCAAAATGTCTGAAATTCTTTCAGCAACTTCTCAAGCGGTTATGATTGTGTATTTGCTCCCACGAAGGCCTTGAGTATATCGGCATCAGTAACAGAAGAACGTCCGCAAACTCCTTCATGTTCAAGGCTGAATTCGTTTTGACGAAATTTTTCTAACCAACTTTGTTCTATGAATTTGTTAACACTTCTTCCACCCAGCGCCTCATTATTTTTTGGAGGCATTTGCGCTGACTACGTCCGACTTTGAATACGTAGAAGTAGACTTGTCAAAATTGCTTGTTTAACATTTGAAATCCTAATCTTCGAGATTTGCCAAGAGAATAATTTTTGTTAGAATTTAACTAAGTGGGGTAAAAGAGCAAAAATGAGCTTTAAAATATTATATGATAATACAGCATTCAAGCTAGAAACTGCGTCTTAAACTTATAGAGGAAAAAATGGTGGAGGGAGGGAAATGAAATTACAAATTCGAAATTAATTTCCGAGCAGCCTAATATAATCGACCATCTTTTTGGATCCTCTGAGAGAAACTTCCCAGGATTGACCCGCATCATTGATTCGATAATTCTAAAAGTGTTAGGATGAAGCTTTTCGTTACAGCGGAATTGGGTTCGTGTTGGTGGTTGCCGCTTCTGACGTGAGTGCAGTGGAACAGAGACTGATTGATGCAAGCGAGACACCCGTAAGAATCGGAAGCGTTGTCAAAAGGCAAGGCGGTGAGTATGACTTGGTCTCGTACTAGAAAACAAACGTATCAAAATTGATAAATGTGCTAGTACTAGTCATTCACAAGTCAAGGTATCGAACGCAAAACGAGATGTTCATTGATGTTAGCACATCATGAAGCATTGCCATTAAACTATAAAACATTGTTGGTTCAATCGCACTTTTCAAAAAATGCTTGTTAAGAATCGATAGAACTAGCTGAGAGACAGGGAAAACGAAGGACCCGGATGGTGTGGTGGTAAAGTGCATTGCTCCCCGGTTAGGACAACAGCGCGCGTTCGTTCCACACCGCATACACCTGCGGACCGGGGTTTTGCAAATATCTCAGCACTATATGCGAGTTATATTTCGCAACATACCCTGCCATTAAAAGAAAAAGGCAGTAAATAAAAGGGTTAAGCTTGTTAAGAATGTTTTTTTCTTTGCGTTGATAAACACTATTATTTTGATAAGCGTCCGTTGACAGAACACTTTCATTCCTTGAAAATTCAGGATATCAAGAATCGAGGACGCTTATACCGTATTCTTTACATTTTCTGGCTTTTTGGACTAATATTTCAGATTCTCTTATTAGTTTCACTAACATGGAGGCCGCATTCAGTCCATCTAGATTCGCACCTGGACCGAAATCTACGATAAAGGTTTCTTTTAAAACAAATTAACTGGACTGTTAGGCAGCCTTCTTCTAACGGGCTATATTTTTCTGTTGTAGATGAGTGATAACTTCATGAATAATTAAAGATCGCTAAAAGCAAGTAACGATTACGAAATCTAGGTTGGAATACTCATTTCTGGTACCGGAAGCAACATGGAGAAGCTAATTGAGAGTTCATGGAAACCGGGTAGTTATTGTGAGGTTTGTACGATATTCAATTGATTTGGTTCATTTAGTTCGATGAGTATAGTCTGTAAAATATAACGGCGTACGTCAGTAGAGTTTCTATGGACTGTGTTTTGAACTTATTAATGCTATGCTTTTAAAATAAAGTATGCAATGTTATTATTGAACCACACAAAAAGAGCTTTTACACATGATCATTTAAGCAAACCTTTGTTCATTAGGAAATCTTCCGAAAACCTCTTAATCTGAAGCGTTTAGGTGGTCTTAGTGATTTCGAATAAGGAAGGAGTAAAGGGTTTGGAGATAGCCAATGCAATGGGAGTCGAAACTATTGTCATTCCACATACACAAGTTAGAGAAGAGGGCGACTCAAAAATTACCGAGGTATGCAGGATTTTAAGCTGAAACAACATTCTGAACTCTATATTCCCACATATATTTTCCGGCATTTTTTAAGTTCTATTTGCTTGTTTCATCTTTGGTTTTGCTGGTCACAAAGTGACTCAAGAAGATGGAAGTACGGTCTCTATTCTCAGTTATCATGTTCCAAAGTTACCAAAAGAATGACGAACATATCTGAGCATCAGAGGTCTGTTGTTTTTCTGATGTGCAAATGAAATTTCGTGAAATACGAAAAATGACAAGTGGGTGAGTCAAAAATTCTTGAGCGTCGTTATCGTAGATAGCAGATGTACGCAGACCAACAACGGTCGTGCTGAGCTGCAACTGTATGTCGTGTACAAAGATACCGTGTCTTGTTTTGGAATCAACCTGCTTTGTGTCTTCCTACGTAACTACAAGTCTCTTCGTTTTTCTCAATCCGACTTTCATTAAACTTTGGTACGATTGATTGATGTCTTGCTGTATTCTTAAGCATACGCAAGTTTGGTACAAAACTTCAACGTTTAGCGGCTAAAATTTCGACGTATTCGTCTTGTTTAAAGCTCTATTGGTTCCAGTCGATTTTCCACTCCCGGTCGTTGTCTAACCGTCTGTAATAGAGCACTGGAGTAGAGTGTACTCAATTGGCGGGACCTTTTTACACAACATAATCTGCTGATGTACCTTCTTTATAGTAATGTATCTTAAAGAAACCGTTGATATATTCACTTACACAGCGCAGCAATACTCCTAATCGCGAGGACGAATGGTGGTGTACAATCGGCTCCAATCATCCAGCTTTTAAGAAGACGCAGACTTCGTAACACTATCCAGTTAAACATTTTACGCCGAATTCGTGTAGACCTAGGAATACAATAAGACTCTGTTTACTTTTTCGACCGTTCAAATAACAGTCCATATTCCCATATCCGTAGGAACAATTGTTGCATTTTCTGTCAATCTTTCAAACAGATTTTCTCACTAGCGTCTCGCTTGTTGTTCATGTATGTTTAGAATGTCTCATGTTTTGTTCAACACGAAATTTTATTCCTCGTCACTTCTTGGCGTAAAACTTGAAGTCGGAGAGAACTTAGCGTTTTGTTTAGGACTGTGTCCGCCTTGCTACTATTGGCCTATTCGGCTAGTTACCTCTGGTCCTCAGATATCTGGATTTGAATGTTTTCACCAAAAATTCCTCTAAGGATTACTTGTAACTGAACGTGAAGATTACGGCCAATAGTAGTTTGACCCGGTCATATCAATTAAACTAAAAAACCTCACAAAAGTTATAATTGAATAGGTGGGAACCTTTCCTTTTCATCATCCTGCTATGGAAATTGAGTAAAATTCGGATTTTAAAAAATCCCTTAGGACTGGAAGCGCCTCGCTTAACTATTGGCTATATTTCCTTCCTTTTTTCTGCTTTGTTCACAACGTATCAGTCTTTGAAACGTTTTTTTTTTTCAAAGAAATTTGGGATGTATCCAGGTGAATCGCCAAGAAAATTCTCTCTCACCTTTTTCACCCAAAGAATCGCCCTTGCCTTACTGTCTCTGCTAATATTCCAGGCTCTACGTGCGCGAAATGTACAACTGATATGCTTGGCAGGCTATATGAGGGTGCTATCGGCGGATTTCATTCAAACATGGCGAAATCGAATAATTAACGTTCATCCATCGATTCTGCCGTCGTTCAGAGGTTCATTTTCATCCGTTTCTAGATATGACATACTTCATAAGTGTTATAAGCTGAAATTTCAAAGTAAGACACGTTTCAAAATCTAAAAAGTGAATAATTATGAAGAATGTTTCCTACCATATAAGGAAGCTTCTTGTTCGTGGTAGCGAATTCTGTTTATGTTATGCTCTCATTTTTGCTCCGTGACTTGCTAAGACGGACTACTGTAGTGTTACTTACTTGGATATATGGATAGCCTGTCTTGACTGGTTTTGGGGGCCCCAGCACAATTTCCATTGTTTCGGCGTTTTGCTAGTTGTGTTGTTGTTCCACTGTGGTTCCCTGAGGTAATGGAAACGCCGAACTTCTTCTCAACTTGGGAGACCCTGCTGGCAGGATGAATTCCTCCGCTGTACATCGCAGCCCTATACCCAGGAACAACTTCTAGCCACGATGAGGCGGTGAACCGTTGGGAGGTACTGTACTTGTTATTTTATGCAACTGTTATATTCTACCTACGATACGGGAACGGTAGTACTGGCACTTGTGTATCCGGGACGGTTTAGTGATGCAAACTTCAGAAATCGAATACGACATCATTCAGCCAACTATCATTCCGTGCTAACCATTTTCGCAGTCGGCAGCTACTAGAATTCTGGACATGATCTGTTTTTCCGCCTGAAACTCGAAGACGTCATGAGCAACCTAGGCGAAAGGTTTCCACTAATTTCTTCATTCTGAAGTGCAGAAGCAAAGTCAACACAAGACAGCGGAAAAACTAGGACTTCATTACTGGTGTAGTTAATAAATTTCATCAGTTTCAAAGATCTCGTACAAAGTATGAGCTTAATACTTCGCGCTTCGACGGGCCTGCTAGCTGTGACTCAATGTTTTCTACCTACCTAGAATTATGAGAAAATGTTAAAAAACTCGATAAGCATATGCGTCATAACCTCACTGAGGTCACATGCGTACTTTGCAACTGGAATCCAGCATATCCAGTCTTCTGAATTATGCTATGTTCTGACAGTCATTTATTGCTTCCGATTATGTTTTCCTGCAGTAGTAAGCGCCAGCTTCATGTGTGGTTACACTTGCGATGCAGGGCATAAGGAGTGTGGAGAAGAATGATACACTGCTTTGAAAAACTGCAGAAATTATCAAAAACATAAAGCTGTTTTTTAGTGTCATAACATTGATGTTAATTCGTATGAAATGCTGAGATATTTGCAAAACTCCGGACCGCAGGTGTCTGCAGTGCGGAACGAAAACGCGCTGTTGTCCTTACCGAGGAGTAGCGCACTTCACCACACCATCCGGATCCTTTGTTTTTGCCTGTCTCTCTGCCGTTAAAAAGAGTAGGCAGTAAATAATACGTTAAATTGTGATTATAACTGCGGCCTCAGCTTAACTGGGTTCGTTGCCGATTTGGGCCCCCCAGATCAATCCCGTTGACGGGTGATTGCTGATGGCAAAAAGATCGATAGAACTAGCTGAGAGACAGGGAAGACGAAGGACCCGGATAGTGTGGTGGTGAAGTGCGCTGCTCCCCGGTAAGGGCAACAGCGCGTGTTCGTTCCCCACTGCATACACCTGCGGTCCGGAGTTTTGCAAATATCTCAGCGTTTCATACGAGTTGTATTTCGCAACATACCGTGCCATTAAGAAGGAAAAGGCAGTAAATGAAAGGGTTAAGATTGATATTAATATTCCAAAATTTCTTATGGGTTTACAAAAAAAAACTTCGTAGGCAGAATTCAAGCGCTTTAAACACTCATTCGTTTTACTCAATGGTTTATGCTGAACATCAGCAGAACATAGGTGGGCATTACGCAATCATGATGTGTGCATGATATTTTATGTTAAAGGTTTCTCTAGACAGGGATACAACGTGAATTGAAGTACGTTCATTGTCGCTGACCTAAGACTTCAGAACTAGGAACAATGAAGGTTTTTAGTGGATGCAGCCAAATGATTCTTAAAACATTTCACATTGTGAGAGATATCAAGTTCATTGCAGGAGCTCATGCTGTTCGAGATGCTCTCAAGTTTGGAGCGAAAGTTACTGGCTGTACTATTCACTACGTAGATGTGAGTGTAATAATACATTAATGGGGCGAAAATCATGATTACTTTTAGAAAAATGAAATAACAGCCCTAATGAAAACATAGACGCATATCCGGAGTAAATAATTAAAGAACAAGTAAGTGAACAGTAAGTAAACAAGGACGTCTTCACTATGACAGTTTTTTCTTGCAATGAACGGAATCAGAATTTTTTATGGTAAGTTTAGTGCTTTCTCATCAATAAATAGTTAAGCGGCAAAACTGCTGTCGTTTCTGCTATTTCTTTTGACTTTGTGCAAAATTAAGCATAAACAGTTTTGTAGAAGCCACGAAACGGGCTGGTCTTTTGACTTTAATTAACACATATTGCCCGACGTGCACTCCATGCCAATGCGTTGGATGCGAAAATAATGGCCCTTAAGTCAAAAAGAATGAACAGTAAGTAAAAAGTGATTACATTGTGATTTATACTAAACCTTCAGCTTAGTTGGGTTAACCGCCGAATTGTGCGCCCTAGATCAATCCCGTTGACGAGTGATTGCTGATAGCATCTATAAAACACGGCTGAGAGAAAGGCGAAACAAAGACCCGCACGGTTTGGTGGTGAACACGTTAGCTCCCGGAAAGTGTTATAGCGGGATCGATCTCCATGGCAAACAACTGTGGTCTGCAGTCTTGCAAATATCTCAGCATCACTGAGGTTATAGTTCACATCATATCCTGCCATGAAAGAAGAACAGGCATTAAATAAAAGGTGATTAAATATTGACCGTTTTTGGACTAACATATTTCACCTTTTACCTTACCTTACCTTACCAGTTGGAATAAAAAAGCAGTACAAATTATTGTTCTCAGATTTTCTCATGCCAACAAGATTTATTTTTTCCCTTTCTGGTCAAAGTTCATGTTTCGATTCGGGAAGCAGGATGACAAGTGTGATTTCATCCGGCAGGATACGATGCTGTTACGTAACGCATTGTTCATGTTTATATCTGATATGCTAGCGTAAAATTTTAAAAATTTCAGCTTAGTGGTAAATTTTCTGGAAGTTCTGGTTGCAAACATTTAGGATTACAATAATACTGTATAAAATTCTGTATATCAATTCGTCTAAGCTTATAAGTACCTTCCAGTAGTTGACTGCCTCATCGTAGCTGAAAGGTGTTCCAGGGTGTCGGACTGCGATGTACAGCGAGGAAATTCGCCCCCCGGCTGGGTCTTCCAAGCTGAGAAGGAGTCTCGAGTTTCCACCAGGAAGCCCAGCTAAGAGTAAACCAATACCAGGATTCAACACCATTCCGGTATCAAAGTCGCATGGTGGCAGATCTCCCTCTGATCCACAAGGGCTGCGACTGCCTCTGGTGGTGAAGACCTGGTGCAGAATTTAGCCAGGCTGATCTCTGAAATCTAGAGAAACGCAATGGCTAAACCAATAAAACTCCGCAAAATGGAAATTTTGCTGGAGCCCGCAGAACTAGTGAAGACGGGTTATCCAAATATCCAAGAATATGAAAAAGTCGATGATGAAGCGAAACACAGCAATGAATGTATCCAGTTATTAACTTCTCAAATAATTTACTGATTAAGGAAGACAAGGTTGCCCTTTTGTAATCTATGTGGAGATCTTAAGAGGTGTCGAACTTTTGTGGAACCCTTTTTGAGGATGGTAGACACCTGAATCGTTGTAATTCAATGATCATACTCCGTAATTGCACATTTTGTAAATGCAGCGAACCTTTAAAAAAAGAAACTAAGCAGTTGGCGATTTTTGGCATTCTGCCACTGAGATGGCAATCTTGGTTGGATACGACGCTAAAGATACGGTTTGTTATTTGAAAATATGTAACTTTTCATCGTCGGTTTATCAATAAACAGTAACTTGCTGTGGTCTATCGATGTGCCAACTGTGTAATGCTGTCGTCTTAGACAAGTCTGGTTCCAATTTCGCTACTTCGAACCAATAACCACGTTTGTATTGCAGACATCTATAACAGCTAGACTACATGCGCTGTTAAAAGTAGCATTTGACATTTCTACGGAAAATCTGAAGTCATTCATGATTGTTTTGCGCACGGAGTAGCTGCGAGTAATCTCTGTCGCGACAGTTTAGCATAACTGCTTGCGAAGTATCCAAAGGCTTGCTTCTTTAGAATGAGAAAGCTAAGTAATTAAAAAAGAACGTGGTTTGCTGCCATACAATATTTTAGCAGATGGAACACCATCGTAAAGAAGGCTATGCTATGTGTAGCTTTTATATTTTTTTAAAACTTGACACAGATAGAGCGGTTTTTCTAACCATATGATAGTGTTAATGTTCTTTGTTCGACTAAATTTTTATTCCTAAAGGGTGGGTAGTTCACAAAAACGAGAGAACAATGGATTTCAACTGAATGTTGTATTCATTGCTCTTCAGGAACAGGTCGACCATGGTTCTATTATAGCGCAAGGCGCTGTCCAAATAGAAGATGAGGACGACGAGGCGTCACTTCATGCGAAAATCCAAGTAATAGAACACAAATTGTACCCGGAAGCCATGCAACGTGTGTCTAAAATGTTAATTTGCAGTGAATAAGTAGCTGGGAATGAAAAATCGCTTGCATCCGATTTGCCAAATTTGTAAATTTATGTAAAATAAAGGATTATGTGCAGGGATTATACCCAGGATTGTAGCTATCAACAAAACACTGAGAACCATCATTCTGTCTAATGAAAATTCTCGAAACACTATAAATATATGCAGTACTATAAGCGTGTCAAATTCTCAGACAACTTCCCATGCAAACGTCTATTCTGATTACGCCGAAATAAGCAGAAAACGTCGACGTACTCCAGGGTGAGACCGTAGCACAGTAATTCTAAGTCGCTATTCGAGCTATGTAGAATTCGAGTACACTTTCCAGTGCTGAGGGTGCGCGCTCCACCACAGCAATAACCCTCACCTAAGAGGTTCTTAGAGGTTGAATGCAACATATACGGATTTATGTCATGCACATCTTTCGCGATGAAACTAATCAGAGAATATGCAAAGGAAAGTAATTCGGGGTCAGAGTTTTTCTCCCTGCTTTTCGAAGACGTTTGCAGAGCGTTACAGTAGTGTTTAGAAAGATGATCAGAAGTTTTATTCTACTCGTGCTCAAATAGCAGAAACCGTCAATCTAATCATATACGAGAACTTGGAACAGCAATTGTAAACGCGCGAAAGCTTGTGATGGTATGGGGAATTGAACCCCAGCCCTCTCCCATGCTAAGGGAGCGCTCTACCACTGAGCTATAGCCCCTTTCTACAAGTGTAACCTGAGAATATGCGAAGCATAGCATTTGCGCTTCTGAGGTCATCTCGCTGCTCCTCAGATTACGTTGGTAGACCTTTCCAGTTGTGCTTTGATGGATGATTAGCAGTGTCTTCCTACTCGTGGTCAAATTGGCGCATTACG